TCTTGCGCCTCTTGATAACTGTCGTTAATCGACATTCTATTTTCATCCATCAAAATTTTGGAATATAATCTTTAATAAAGAGTACTGTGCAAAGGCGCAGACATTATCGTTTAGTGGCTGTTCATTCTTTCAAATTACTTTTATACAAAAGCTTCTAAAATATCAATTACTGATTTATTTCTGTTCGTATAACTCATTCGGTTCCTGATAGTCTTCTCTTTGCTTTCTTATATATTAAAAAAGTTATTAAAACCTACAACAACTGACTTAAGCATCGGCCAGCGTAATCAAATTGTGAATGTTTGAGCCTGTATATTGAAGATCGAGACGTATTTATACAGCTGCCCCGCCGCCTTAGCTTTGGCTTAACGTATATGAATTTTTAGTACATTCTGAAATTTAACTGGTATAATTTTGAATTTATAAATTTCCGGAGATAAGGCAGTTGAAAATTATGAACATTTAAATTTTGTTTTTAAAAAGAAAGCATCTTATCCCCAAATTGAATGAATTAACAATAAAACCGTGGCCAAAAAATAAAGATTATCTTTAACCATTATCCTGCTGAAATGGTTCTTCGTAAGCACATTTTCATTATCCCTCAAATACAGACTGAATCAAACCGAGTCTGCAATGTTCATGTAATTTTGTTGTGATTTATGCTTCCGCGGGATCACACTTTTTCCAGATCTGTTTTACTTTGTCTTCAGTATAGAGTCCGGCTAGCCTAGTTATCCGTGAGATCTGACCATGACATATCTATATTGTTGGTAGATCTGTATGTATACTTTGATCTGAAATTTCTTAAACCTTGAACGGACTGTTGGACATTCAAACCATGACAAGTGCATTGTACAAATTCAGCATTTTATTGGCATGAATTTTTACTTTTTTTATATAGTTTATTGCCCTTTAAAGCCTCAATAGTGTTTGAATTCCTTGTATTAATTCATTTGCCGAGGATATGTTTCACTGTAAACGGTATAATAGTCTTTATATTAAATTGATTAATTGATTAAATTAATTAGGTCGAAAAGTAGATATTTTCACATTTACCTGATTACTGATCATTAACACTCAGATGGGCATAATGCCACCTTAAATACATGTATTGATTTAACTTTAAGCGATATAAATATACTTTATATATTTGTTTAGCTCCAATCGTTTTTGCTTATCTATGAAATAAACCTATTACTTACAGTTGTGTGGGGTTATAACAAGTTTCAACACACTTAATTTTTTAAAAGTTAAGCTTTGAATGCACCCACATAAGTTTAATGCATTGCACTATTATATCAAGAAGGATAGTCTGATATTGACATGTTAATACAAAGTTTGAAATCATTAACATAGTATTGTCCAACGAAGCATACGATCTCTTACTTTGTTTAAAGAATATAGAAAACTTCAAATTGTTGATATTGTTGAAATTAGGAAACAATTGTAACAATCTTAATTTTGTACCTAGTTCATTACCGACTTTTTATGTTGGTAGTAGTTGAATCGGCACAGTTTTCGTAAAGAGTTCTTGCATAAATAAAATCAGTCTTTACAATTGTACCAGTTGCAATATTACACGATAATTGCATTAACAAGCTGGTTTTATATTGGTATCTGTTTAAGTACGTACTAGTGATATTTCCTCACGCATTATTGGCTTATTTCTCAATACCACACGTTCACTTTTAACGTGTGAATTTCCTGTCGACTATGTGAATTACTATTAACGTTAAAAAGATAAAATAATGGAGAATAATAAAAGGAGAATATAGTGAACATTATAATTGATGGCATGAAGCAAAATTTGCTATTCGGAATTTAGAATAAGTTATATCATTTGTAATTCGAAGTTATTCGACAATATGATTGCTATAAAGGTTTTTCTGACAGTTTTGATTGTGATTACACTCAGCTCAGGTAATTTGAAATGTTTGTTTATTTCGTCTTATTCAAGATAGCATTTAAGAAAACTTCAAAGATAATTATTGATGTTTTTAAATGCACCATGTTGTATTCTTATTAAAACTAGTAAGTAATTATTATTCGAGACATAAATGTCTAATATGCTGTTCGTTGTATCTTTTTTTTTGTTCGAGTAAGATTCGTAAGCTCGTTATGCTATGCTTCATTTCTAGCTGAAATTGAAATTTGCCAGTTGACATTGTTATTAAATATTAACAGTATGAAACGTTTCCTTACAATCTTTCAAAGTATAGTAATCGCCATTCTTTTGTAATAGGTGTTTGAATGTTCAGGCTAGGTATTTCATTCAAATTAGGGAGATTCATTAGAGAAATTAAAAAACTTAATACAGCCATGTAGCATGCCATTTTAGCTAACCTGTATACGTTTGAAAATTATAAACTTTTCTTTGATTGCATATCACAAAATATACTAACATATTCATGTACAACAATAAGTTATGTCTATGTTCCTTTGACATTCATTTAATATTTGATTATAATAATTATTAACTTGTTAATATGAAAGTATTTTATTTTTGTTTTTGGCACATGACTATTTTCACGGATTGTCAAACATAAATGACATAAAAAGTAAACAGTGGGATTTAGCTCGAGACGAAGACAAGTAAATAAGCAAACTCGTGTATTTTTCTTATTATATTGTCCAAAATTTAGTTCACATACAATGTAAAAAGCCAATATAACCTTTTTAAATATTTTGATATTAAACAGACAGTATGTTATAATTTTGACTATGAGTAACTCGCATAATATTCATAAACTACTAGATAAATTTTGTGAAAGATAAAAAAAAAACATGCATGTCTGCTTTTTGGCATGAGTTTGCTTATTTTAAAGTTATTATTATTTTCGTTTTCTTTAATTTGAATAGATATGTACTAGTAGTGACAGTATCCATTGTATGTTATTACGATGATATACTATTATTTTCTGTGTTTCTTTGTTATTTGACAAAATAATGTGTTACTGTTTCTTTTAAAATGTATGTTTTTATTCTGATATGAGACTGTTTACTTGATTCAACAAAGATGTAGTGCTTCTTAAAAGAACTTCTTTCATGTAGTTCTAGAATGCCCTTAGTCAATCGATAAAGCAACACCCAATTCTTAATTTAGTTATATTATTTCGAGTTAATAGAGCAAACAATTCGTTGTCGATTAAAGGTTAACACATCACACAAACTTAATTTCGAAGAAAATAACTTCCGTGTGATTTAATAGTTACAAAACAAGTAAAACCAACTTTTGAAACAATTAGATAATGTCGCCTAAAACGTCTTATGTTTACTTATTAATAAATAATTAATTTGTATTTTGTATTTGTCAATTGGACTTAGTTTCACATTCAATATTTAACAGGAGCAAAATAACATTTCTGACACGGTGTATTGTCCAAATATATCACTATTGATATAAATGAATATACATAGGCTTTTAGTGAGTAGTTTTAATTCTGCTGTGTCAAAATCAGGTAGAAATAAGTGGATGCTATATTTAATTCCTTCAAAAGATTGAATTATCTCATGTGTTCAAGGAATAGGTCTGTCAACCTATATTTCCTATATTTTTGCACGTTTTAAATATTCATTAAGTTAAGTATATCAATGTCCCAATGTCCGTAATCCACGTCAAAATTACGTAGTGAAATCATCCGTAAAATATTTAAGATGTTTTCCGTCGCATTAGTTATACTCATTAGGGTTCTTTAAATTATTGACCACTTTAAGTTTAACTAAAATACCTAATATCACATTTAGTGGTATAAGTCGGTCAGTAATGTTATGGAAATTCCTTAGCGATTTAATATATCTGAAAGTAAATCTTCAGTGAAATAATAAGCGAAACAACTTCTTTGATGATGACATCATGCAATATATAAACAAGTATTATTATTATTATTATTTTATATATTATTAAAAACACAAGCGATTTATATGATACAAAATTCTTAATACAAACTATTTAAAATTTGAACAACAGCAATGTTTATAACCCTCAAAATATCGTACTTCTTTATAAACAAAATAACGTATTTTCTCTTCAGACATATACTTATATGCCAACATCATTGCTGTATGATTTATTTGAATTTCATATCTTGGAAACTATCGAGACAGTCAGATAAACATGTTTTAGCTCACATATGTTATAATTGAAATAAGATACTTTTTCATTACATAATACCGAAGTATAAATTCTAGCAATGATTGGTACAGTTGGGTTCATCACTGTCTCAGACGGAACAAAAACATGAAAAAATAGTATATAATTATTTTTTTTCAATAAGGCAATATAACATGTAATATTTAATAACATTCATGATTTTCACAAATCATGAATTCGTAACTATCATTATTATTAAAATGATATAAAAGAAACACTTAAAACGATTATTAAAATGTCAAGCTAAACACAAATAAACAAACAAAAAAAACAACAGAACGTTCAACCCCTGTAAGTCACCGTGCTGGACAATTATATTAAAACAATTACTTCAATAAATGTTAACAGTTTATAAATATATATGTAAGGACAGCAGCAAAAAGCTCTTGCGTGTATTTCTTAAAGCCATATCAAAATTATAATATATTCCCAAGATTAACTACATATATGTGTTAATGGTTTTAAGGAACGCTACTTTTCGCCTTATTTAACTGTCTACAATGGGTTTTATGCCATTTCCGATTATCTAGCAGTAATGCTTTATTTTTCTTATGCATTCAAATTACCCCGTTTGCCGTGTTTATTTTGTTTAAATTTAATGTAACATTTCCTGTTAGAAACTGTTTAACATGCTAATAAAATGATTTTTTTTTATTTCATTATTACTGAAGAGACCGACCAAATTTCTTTTCTTCATCATTTTGGTAACACGCAAAGTTAAATGAAACATTTAGAGAAAATAACGTGTAAATGAGAAAATCTCGGCCGATTTAAATTGTTGTAATAGATAAATAAATCTTTATCATTTCAATGTTATATAATAAGCATTATCCGTGTTAATGTGATAATGCAGTTTATCTAGACAATTCTTTCATTATAAGGGAGATAAGTCGTAAGGTCTTATTACACGCAGCTCAGATTATGTCCCCCCTTTAGTTGAAAGGTCGCAGTTAATGCTAGGGCTTACGTCATCAGTCGTCTACGTCATATATTCCGGACTTTAGTTGAAAGGTCACAGTTAATGCTAGCGCTTACGTCATCAGTCGTCCACGTCATATATTCCGGAGCACATGGTCCAGTCTCTTTTTTTATGTGAATCGAAGTTGAATCGTATCCAAAAAGGAGGAATATTTACCAAACAACAGCTTTATCAGATAAGTTAATTTGTCACAATTATTAAATAGTTGAATTTCATGTACAAAATTGATATTTGATTTATAATATCCGGATAAATATAGTATTAACTATAGTAAATAAATTATAATCATACCACGAGGTGTGGCCGTGGGAGACGGTGACATCGGCTAGACCAGTTACTGTATAAAGTGAAACAAAGTTGTACTCTTTATATCAGTGAATTTATCATTAAACACTGTTTTCACTATTAAATTATATTTCCTAGGATGCCTAAGGCAAAGGCGAAATCTAACAGACAGGGAAACCCCGTTTCGTTTCCACGCCATTCCTCAAGGTCATTGGCAAGAGGTCAATCGGCGCGGCCAAGAAAACAAACTTGCAAAGCAACACCAACAGCTGAACAAAATGTGGCTGTCAATGTGGAAGCACATGTTCCTACCGATACTGAGCATGGTGATGGCAATTTACCCACAGGCTGTCAGGTAGCTGGCAACCCCGCTCCTGAGCTTCAGCAAGAGCATCACGTGATTGGGTTTTCCAATGGTTTCTCAAGGCTGTCTCCTTCTGAAACCTCCAATATCCAAGGTGAGTGTGACCCTATTTTGGTAATACCTACTCATGACCTGGATATTCATATTTCAGATGCGTTACAGGAAAAAAATATGGAATAATCAGTATGTCGATCTTGCACAATTGTTGCACAAAAATTTCCATATGCCCAGTTCACAAGATGACATGCAAATTTCTTTCATAAATAATAAGTTTGTATTGAAATCTAATAAAAACTAAAACAAATTGATAATATTGATTCTTGGACTGATGCTTTTGTAAACTTCATTTTAGTTTACATTAAAAACACCCATTAAGAGCAGCGGAACTTTTGAAATACATGGCAATTGTTCGAGGTGCTTCCGCATCTAATAAATTCCAGAAGTGTTACCAATATGATATTCAATTTCGCCTTCGCATGTCTATTAACTCTAGTCGTCTGTGGTCCAATATTGATGGTCATTTGTGGCTTACATGCGGATTGCTAGGCGATAACCCTTCCACTAGTGACGAGGTAAACAGAAATGCCTCTGCAGGTGCTTGTTATGATTACAATTTCAAAGGCGGATGTTATAAGATGTTTTGTCAGTATAGGCACACCTGTATTGTATGCAAATTACCTCATCCATCCAATACTTGTGTAAACGCTCAGAAGTCGATGAGATTTAATAGCAGTGCGTCAGGGGCACAATTTGTTCCTCGACCGCGCTTTGTTCCGCTTGGCAGCACAAATGTGCCGCCTAGCGGAACAAATAATGTGTTTCAAACCCGGCATGTAAATACATTCCAAAGGCCTAGGGGTTTTAGACCAATTTCCCCGTCATATTCTCAGTCTGCCTTTTCCTGACCCCAATTTATGGGCCAAAGGTAAAAACGCCAATAATAATGGATAAAATTTCACCATTTCTCGAAAAATATACAAACGCAAATGATGCAAAATTTTCTAATTCACGGTTTTCAGCATGGTTTCCCTCTTGGTTATGCAGGTCCAAGAATTTATAGGGACAGCAAAAATTTAAAGTCAGTCATTGATAATATTGACATTGCAAAACAAAAAAATTTATGACGAGATAGATGCTGGGCGTATGTCGGGCCCCTACGCCACAAGACCTATATCAAATCTTAGATGTTCCCCGATCGGGCTAGTTCCAAAGAAATCCGGCGGATTTAGGTTAATTACACACATGTCACATCCCGCAAGCGATAGTGTTAATGATTATATTGACCCAATGTTAACATCTGTCAAATATTCGGATTTTGATAATGCTGTAAAAATGATAAAAAGGCTAGGTAAAGGTACATTAATGGGAAAAATGGATTTGAAAAAATGCTTTCAGAATTTTACCATGCTATCCTGGAGATTTTTGACCTGTTAGGAATCATGCTGGATGGTCAATATTATATTGACAAATGCATGCCAATGGGCTGTTCTATTAGCTGTTCTACTTTCGAAAAATTTTCATCTTTTCTAAATTGGGAAATCAAACGCCGAAGTGGTTACAATGATATAGATCATTATCTTGATGATTTCATTTTCATGTCTGTTGCAAATTCTGATATATGTAAATTGAGCATGTTACAGTTCGAAGCAATGTGTACTGAATTTGGTGTACCAATCGCTTGTGATAAAACTGTCGGCCCCGTGACATGCTTACTTTACCTTGGTTTAGAGCTTGATTCAATTTCAATGGAAATACGCGTACCTCGGGACAAAGTTATAAATTTATTACATCAAATTAATGATGCATTGTTATTACGAAAAATAACGTTGCAACAATTACAATCATTGACTGGTTCATTGGCCTTTTGCGCAAAAGCAATGCCCTCAGCACGTGCATTTATCCGCCGGCTTTACTCAGCTATGTCGCAAGCAAAAAAGCCGTACCACAAAATCCGCTTGTCAAATGGTCTAAAAAGCGATTTAAATATGTGGAAAACTTTCTTGACTAATTATAATGGCACTTCGGTAATGTTAGACACTGAATGGAAATCGAATTCAGATATACAGTTGTTTACTGACAGCGCAGGGCAGTCAAATTTGGGCTGTGGTATTTATTTTAATGGTCGTTGGGCTTTTATGCAATGGCCTCAACAATGGAAAGATACAGATATTCTTAAAGATATTACCTTTTTGGAAATAATACCAATAGCATTGGCTTGTTTTTTATGGTCCGAACATTTTCGATCTATGCGTATTCAGTTTAGCTGCGACAATATGGCAGTAGTACATATACTTAATTCAAAATCTTCGAAATCTAATAGAGTAATGGCACTTGTTAGACAAATAGTGTTATGGTCTCTGAAATTTGATTTCCAATTAAATGCAGTACATATCAGTGGTGTAAACAATAACATTGTTGATTCAATTTCACGAATGCAGTGGAAGACGTTCCGAATGTTAGCACGGAAGCGGAAGTTCACCCAACACCAATCCCGAGGGACTTCATGACGTACTTGCCGATGAAATAGCAGTTCTACTAAATTCCTCGGTTTCGGAAAAAACGAAACAAATTTATAACCAAGCTATAAAATGCATTCAAGAACTTTCGCTGTTTGCATGAACTACCGGGTGTGTGGCCCCCGCCGGTGGATCATATGGTTAATTTTATAGGTTATCTCTCACTCAAAAAGTTCGCATTTGCTACAGTTAACTCCTATTTATCCGGCATTTCGTTTTTCTTAAAGATGAATGGTATGCCGGATAATACACAATCATTTATAGTAAAAAAGATGTTATGTGGAATGCGACGCATCCGATCAAAAAAGGATTTGCGTGTTCCAATAACGCTACAGGTGCTTCTTCGCTTCCAATGGCTTTACAGAAAGTTGCATATTCAAACTATGAATCAATATTGTACATAACGGCCTTTGTTTGTGCATTTTTTGGTTTTCTGCGGGTAGGCGAAATAGCCGTTGACACAAAGAAATCAGACACCAATAGAGTCGTTCAGTTAGGAGACCTTAGATTTTCGGAGAACGAATGTTTTTTAACAATAAGATTTTCCAAAACCGATCAGTTTGGGTCGTCGGTAACACTGACATTTTGTGTATCACATTACCCTGAGATATGTCCCTATAGACTACTTCGCCATTACATTACTTTACGCCCTCAAATAGAGGGTCCTCTATTTTGCCATTTCAGTGGGCAACCAATGACTAAATATCAGTTCCGTTTCATGCTTCGCAAATGTTTAAATTTCCTCAACATTTGACTCAAATATAAAAAAGCCATTCATTTCGTATTGGCGCGGCTACCACAGCTTCTCAATTAAATATCTCTGACGATATTATAATGCAAATGGGTAGGTGGTCTTCGAAATCCAGGGCTTATAAGAGATACATTAGGTTAGATAAGATAATTCCATAAAAAATTTATTTTTAGATAACGTTGGCCAGCCTTGTCAAAATATTTGGATCGTAGGGTCTTCAATCATTAAGAGAGCAGAGGCACATGCTAAAACGAGGCCGATGGGACGTCACCTTGGTCTTCAGCGACGCGGTGTTACTGTATTTTGGGCTGGTCATCCGGGCTTACATTATAGGCAACTTTACAATATTATTTCCTCAATGTCTTTTTGTTTGCCACCACCAAGTTTTATTGTTTTACACTTTGGTGGCAATGATATAGGTCTAGAACCATGTGGTGTTTTAAGACACCATTTTAAAGAAGTTATTTCTCAGATAATGAGAATTTTGCCTAGGGCCTGTATTGTTTGGTCCTCTATATTACCTCGTTTTGTCTGGAGGTACTCCGAAAATAATAAAGCTATGGATGAAAATCGGAAAAGAATAAATAGAGCATTGATATATTTTCTAGCCCAGCTTGGTCATAAGTGTATAAAACATCCAGATTTTCAAGATAAAATGCCAGCATTATTTTCTGATGATGGTGTACATTTGTCTTATATTGGAAATGATATATTTTTAAACACAATTCAAGGTGCTATTGAAACATTTTTGACTAATAATGCAAACGTATATCCAATTGACTGAATAACTAAAAGCCTGACAGCGGCGAAAAATTAAATTTGGCGTGAGCACTGCGTACTCATTGGCAGAATTTTTCGACGCAGTGTTTTATTAACTAAAAATAATTCAATTTAAGTTAAAGAAAGATATAAAACATTGTGTTAAATACTGTTTGTGATTGAACCCCAACAGTTAGATCTAGCAGTAATCATTAATTCGGCGATTGGTCATTCAATCTGCCATTGGACTTGTTGTGTACGAGTCGAACTTGAAATTGATTTGTTGATTTATGTATGATGAACTGAATGATAAACAATGACTTGTGAATGAAAAACAGTGATAAATGATGGTTTAATAATGATTATACAATCAATAACAAAGTGGCTTGGTCTATTCCCCAGCACTATTATTTTCCTTTGCATGTTTCAATTTTTTTCATGAATTCGATATCGTCGACTGTCAGGCAATTATTCCACTAATAAATTTTAATGATAATGTAATTTTGTTTTGATTCATTAGAATTTGTCATTGATAATAAGCATTATCCGTGTTAATGTGATAATGCAGTTTATCTAGACAATTCTTTCATTATAAGGGAGATAAGTCGTAAGGTCTTATTACACGCAGCTCAGATTATGTCCCCCCTTTAGTTGAAAGGTCGCAGTTAATGCTAGCGCTTACGTCATCAGTCGTCTACGTCATATATTCCGGACTTTAGTTGAAAGGTCACAGTTAATGCTAGCGCTTACGTCATCAGTCGTCTACGTCATATATTCCGGAGCACATGGTCCAGTCTCTTTTTTATGTGAATCGAAGTTGAACCCGCCCACCCTACCCATAGTTATCAAATAGAAAATTAAAAATTTATACAATGTATACTATATATCTGTTTCTGCTCTTGTTTTCTTTATATTTGCAGTTACTTGTGAGTGGCACCTTACGACCAACAAATGAAATTGTTTACTAACTCCAGTTCGTCGACAGTCGACATTAGAAAATTGAGGATTGTCCATGGCAGAATTTTTCGACGCAGTGTTTTATTAACTAAAAATAATTCAATTTAAGTTAAAGAAAGATATAAAACATTGTGTTAAATACTGTTTGTGATTGAACCCCAACAGTTAGATCTAGCAGTAATCATTAATTCGGCGATTGGTCATTCAATCTGCCATTGGACTTGTTGTGTACGAGTCGAACTTGAAATTGATTTGTTGATTTATGTATGATGAACTGAATGATAAACAATGACTTGTGAATGAAAAACAGTGATAAATGATGGTTTAATAATGATTATACAATCAATAACAAAGTGGCTTGGTCTATTCCCCAGCACTATTATTTTCCTTTGCATGTTTCAATTTTTTTCATGAATTCGATATCGTCGACTGTCAGGCAATTATTCCACTAATAAATTTTAATGATAATGTAATTTTGTTTTGATTTATTAGAATTTGTCATTATTAATGTTTCTTAATAAGAAATTGTTGTATTTTTGGCTGCTTTTTGATATATCAGTTATTGTTCATGTTCGAATTTCATGTTTTATAACTCGATTTGTTCGAATGAAAACGTTGGAGTTATTTCTTGTTTTGCTTTGCTAATAAATATGATACACATGCCTGTTTGTTAGCTAGACATCATAAACTTTCAAAACATGACATTAAATATTAGTTTTGATATATTTCTTTCTTACAGGTCTAAATATTCCACTCTAGCAATATATCGTCTGATATAAAGCTTGCAAGTAGTTTCCTTGATTCTTCTTTTTCCGAATTGTGTTGCTCACGTTAAAATTCAACGTATTTTTTAAAACCCGTTTTTATTCAATTTGCTGTATCAAAGAAGGACACTTGTCAGTAACATTTCATTTAAGCGGAGCTGGATTATATATGATATTAAAAAAAAGATAACGTATTTAAGATTAATGTATTCAATGCTGACACAAAACCACGGATATCTACCATTGTTATTTATATAACTATGACAGGCCTTGTAACAATGAATATAATGAGAGTATCATATCTTTGATATTCATAGCAAGTTATATAGGTAACCATTTGAACACTGCTCCGAACATCTAGATTCGAACTTACCGGACAGCGTTATGATGTATCGCTATTGTATATATGGTCTGTCAATCCGTTTTGAAAAACTGTAAATATCGCCTTTTTACCATGGGAATGAATTTGAGACACGTGAACGGTATTAAATATATAGATATATTATTTAGTTGTATAAGGCATTCTTCTTTCTCATAAAAACGTCATTTTATCTTTGTATTTATTGCCGTCTTCACAAACCTAAAAAAATTCCACTACCATTTTAGTGCGACAAAATAAAACCGGAAATAATAGTGTCAAATAAGTTCATTGACAATATCACAAGTGGGTTAAAATTAAATTCTTATTTGCAAACTAATTGCTTTTTCACCAATTATGTAACACTGACTTCTGTTTAATAGGGGTAATAAAGAAAAATATTTTACGGGGTCACGATGTACAAAAAAACTGACATTTACAGGCATGTCTCTCATAGCATTACGAGGTAAATTGACAATAGCTTAACCTCTCTAAAGCATTTAGAGATATTATGGTGATTGTTTTATCTCTAATAAGTTGTATTACTAGATATTCTGGCGTTTGCTTAAGATTTAATAAAGCATCACTGGGTTTTCTGCTTATTGTTTAAGCTCTAACAAAACATAATGACGTATTCCTGACATTGTAAAGCACAAGCATTTATTATGGCTATTTGCAATAACTTTGATAAAGCATTACCATGTGTTATGGGAATTTTTTAAGCTCTGATTAAACTTTATTAGGTATTCATGCAATTTGCAATAGCCATGATAAAACACTTCTAGGTCTTTTCGAAATTGTTTAGCATTACCAGGTATAATGGCCTTTTTATGATCTAATAAAGCATTACACTGTATTATGATAGTTGCCTAAGCTTTAATAAAACATTTCGACCTTGTCTAGCATTTAACATTTTAATAAAATTATTACATTTTAATAATGTAGATCTAGTTTTAGTAGCACTCTATGAAAATGTACACCTGAAAGTCATAACGGGTTTTAAAAGTTATTTACATATACAGATATGCATCTCTTTCTATACTGTCTAACCAGCATCTGTTAAGACTATATATATACTATATATACTTCATGTTCATGTTCGGCAAAACGGGACATTGATGCCCCAGCATCAAAGGCTATAAAATCCATGAACAATTTACTATCGATAACAAAAGACATAGAAATGCCAGTTAAGATAAAATTCAACCTATTCGACGCATATGTTACTTCTATTCTTTGTTATAGTGCTGAAATATGGGGTTTTTTTCATCCGCAGAAGTAATAGAACGTGTACACCGAAAGTTCATTAAGCGAGTCCTTAATGTGAAACTATCGACATGTAGACATGGCATATACGGTGAAACGGGTAGACATCCACTAGTTCTAAACAGAAAGGTTCGAATTGTTAAATTTTGGTTGAAACTTTTACACAACGGACAACGGAACTGTATATTGAATAACTGAATATGGAACGTGTACGAATCTATGTTGAAAACAGCTGAAAATGGACAGCAAAACTGGGCTTCCAAAGTGAAGAAACTACTTGATGTATGTGGCTTTGGGGAAGTATGGCTATATCCGCGTTCGGTAGATATAAACGCGTTTATATACCAATATTCAAACGAAGATGTTATGATATTTTATGTTAGTGAATGGAGAGTGTGTACGCGAAGTAGCCCAAGTATCATGTTATTTAACAGTATTAAACAAAACTTTGGAATCATGGCAGATTACATGTATTTAACATTGATGGAAAATAAGAAATATAGAAATGTAATAACAAAAATACGGTTGTCCTCTCATTGCCTTGAAATTGAACAAGGTAGGCATAGGAACATTCCTAGGAACGAGCGTCTGTGTAAATTATGTCTTCAACGAACAATAGAAGATGAATTCCACTTCATATTAGAATGCCCGGTGTATAATAACATTAGAAGACAGTATATACCACATTGGTACAGAACAAGGCCAAATATGATTAAATTCATTGATTTATTATCATCCAGTGATGTGCATATTTTATACAGACTGGCAAAATATTTAATCAAAGCATTTGAAGAAAGAAGACTCTCTTAAATACAAATAGTTAATTAAAATACTTAACTCAAATAATGTGTCATATGAAATAACAATTACCAAGTTTGACATTTTCGTTATCATAATTGTATATGAATAGTAAGAAATAGCAAAGCCGAATCTCTCAAATCTATCGAAAATATGCAGACTTTGTATTTATCTTCGATACATTGATTCATTATTGTATATGCTCTCATTACATACTTTTATGCATGCATGTAAAATATTATTGTTTAATCAATATGCTGTTCGCATACGATTTATTAATTAACTTATGTTCTGTTCTGTTCTGTTCATATGTATATTTGTAAAGGACTTTGTGTTGATACGTAAACTGTAGCTACTGGGCGCGTTCATGAAAAGTCTCAATTAAACCGGAAACATTACAAATGTCGTTGTTTTTGGCAAATTTTGAGATATCTATTTTGATATTTTTTGCGTCTCCAAAACATGTGGCATGAAAGAGAAATAAGATATAACTAACAATACTGGTCAGGTACTGTTACTATTGCATATGACATGTATGTTTGTTTCATATCATTGTATTTGATTCCTTAGTATCCGCATCATTAAAGCTGTAAGAAGAATACATGTTTATAAACAGTAATATATAAAATATATTTACATTGAATATTGCTTTTAAGTATTCGCTATACCAATTGAAATGAAAAGTCTTAGTAATATTGCAATAAATTTGCAATATTTCTGTCAATTATCCTTATAAATATATCTTCTTTATATTAATCATCACATGTGACATTTTATTACATTTTAAATGCTTTACATTGGATGTAGGTTACACGCCTTGTTTTCGTGATAACATGTTATTACGACGTTAATCGCCTTGAAAACGCATACTCGTACATACTGTTGTGCTAATAAAGTTAATTATTATTTCTGAAGTACTCATTCTTGCATAATGCAATTATGATTTTTATAGCTAGGATTTTTCATTATACATCAAGTTATTTTTAATCATATGGAATGGTTTACTTCCTACTTTTAATTTTTTCTACCATTATTGCTTGTTTTCGTTTCCTTCATTTCATGTAACTTTTCAGTTGCGAAAAACACACCACTGGCAGGTTATTTTTTTATTTTCAACTGATTAATCTGACATATTATAGAATCATATGATCAAATATTCTTAGTAATTCTAATTTCCATGTGACACGATTTTATCAAACGCTTTTGTCTGTATTGAAAATTCTTTTGCGAAATAAAACATCTGACAAGTTGCTCTTATTCTATTGTATAATATACGAAATTATATTCAATACTGGAGGAGTCTGGCAACTTTGTATAGAAACACGACGTAATAATCTTACCACTTCGTATAAAAACCGGACGCTAAATTGGTTTATTGTATAGACACCGGACGTGTTAATCTAATCGTAATAATCTGTATACAAACTATACAAACTGGACGTTATAATGGTGTATTATCTTATCATTCCGTATAGAAACCAGACTTAGTATTAATGTATAACTTAACCTTCTATAGAGAAACCGGGCGTTACATTGGTGTGACATCTAACAACTCTATACAGAAACTGGGCGTTACATTGGTGTGACATCTAACCACTCTATACAGAAACCGGGCGTTACATTGGTGTGACATCTAACCACTCTATACAGAAACCGGGCGTTACATTGGTGTGACATCTAACCACTCTATACAGAA